CCTCCCCAAGCGATCTTTTACCCCACCTGCCACGTCACCTCTTCCCTCCCTGTTCTTCCCGCGCTACCTTCCCCTCCAGCGACCCCCGTCCTCCACCACACCTTCTTCCACCCCCGTCACTTCCCTTCCCGTTTCCCTCCCCTCCTCACAACCTACTACAAGCGCTTCCACCACTACACGAACCACTTCCCTTCGCCTCTCCTCCCCCCTCACCCAACCTCTCCTAACTACTTCCACCATCCCCTCTGTCCACCCCTCCTCCCCCCTCACCCAACCTCTCCTAACTACTTCCACCATCCCCTCTGTCCACCCCTCTTACTCCCAAGTCCTTTCAGGCGTTTACCCCGCCATACCCCAACCTCCCCCTTGCTACCTCCTCGGTGACCGCAGTCAGGATCACACCTGCTACGACACCTCTCCCGACGACCGCAACTTCAACAACCTCGCTTGCATTGTCCCTCGCAACGGGGACATTCCTCGTTCCTTCCGCGCCACCGATATCGCGACGTTCTCCGGCCTCCCCCACGAGGACGTCCTCCTTTTCCTCTCTCAAATTCAAAATGCCTTCAATCTCCACAACATGCCCCTCGCTTGTTGGCTCCCCACCGCAACCTCCCGCCTTCAAGGCGCCGCCGCTCAATGGTGGTTAACCGAAGCCAACAACCGCCGAGCCAACGACCTTCCCCGCATCACCTTCCTTCAATGGGCCGACCTTCTCATCGCCACCTTCCGTCCGCAAAAGACCATTGATGACTACATCGATCAATTTTGCAACCTCCGCCAAACCAGCCCCACCGAGCGATTCATCCATTACGTTCGCCCCCTCCGCCTCCACATCCCGTCGACTCTCATTCCCGACTACGTCTTCATCTCCCGCAAGCGGGTATGCTTCCCCCACCTCGCCGCAGCCCTCACCCATGAGCCCGAGCTGCCTCTCACCGATCTCCTTACCCGCCTTCTCCACCATGATCGCCTTCCTCACCTCCGCTCTCAACGACCAGCCGCCCCCAACCGCACCCGGTTTTTCCACAACATATCCTCCGACGACTCGTCACTCCCCTCCGACGACGACTTTGATTCCTCTCCCGAGTCCCTTGACCCAGCCCAATGCACCGAGGAAGACTTCCAGGCTGTCCATCTCATGAGGATGGAACGGCAACGCCTGGCCTCCCAGCCTTCCTCCTCCCCCCAACCCCCTCGTCTCAAAACGCTCACCCCCACCGAACGCGCCTTCCTCCAGGCCAACGACGGTTGCTTCCATTGATGCAAACCAATTGCCCCAAGGCCGACCGCTCCACCCACCAGGCTTCCCGCCCGACCGGATCCACCCTCCCACATCCACTTCCTCCTCCTCCACCGCGGCCTCTGGGCCCTCCTCCACTTGAACTCTGTCCCCCCGCCCCTTGTAGCCATGTCCTGGCATCAAAAATTTGTCTGTCGACAACGACTTTCACACCGGACACCCCCGAGGCGTCGCAGTCTACTCCGCCTGCCCTCCTCCCGACGACGTCCTCTATTCCGTCGGCTCAGCACCCCACGGCCACATGTTCCACTACCCTCCTCCCCAACCCCTCCACCATCACTTTCTCCGATCTCGTTGAGGAACAAGACCGACACACTCGGCTTGTTAGATTAGGCCTCGAGCAGCGCCGCCTCAACGCCATGATCTCCTCCGCTTGTGCCGGGCCCGCCCTCGACATTGGTGCCACCGTCTCCTTTGGAGCATCGACGGTGAAGTTCCGGGCCCCTCTCGACATTGGTGCCACCGGCAACTTCATCACGGATGCCGGTGTCCGCAAAGCCGGCCTCTCTTCCACCGGCTATGATTCCCCAATCACCATCCGCTTAGAGGATAAGGACTCAGCCATCGTCGTGGACCGCACACTCCCCGAGACCACAATGACTCTCGGCCCTCTTCGCAGTCAGGTCTCCTTCGATGTCATGCACCTCATTTGTGACATCGTAATCGGGACTCCTTGGCTCGACCGCTACATGCCCTATACCTTCCACCCCTCTTTCATCCGCCTTTCCACCCCTCCCGATCCACCCCTTGACATCCCCTACCTTCTCCCTCCCTCCACCCCTTCCCCCGTCTCTCCTCACCAATTTCTTCACATGACCTGTGAGCACCCCGACTCCGCCTACTATTGCCTTGTCATTGACCGCGACCGTCCCGAGGACTTGCTTCCAATGGACAAACCCGACCAAGACCCCCCCCTCCGACCCTCAGATCTCCGCCCTCCTATCCGAATTCAAGGACGTGTTTCCCGAATCCCTGCCCGCCGGACTACCTCCCGACCAAGGTGTTTCCCACACCATCGATCTCGAGCCCGGCCACTCCCCCCCTTGCCGCCCCCCATACCAGCTCTCCGTCCCCGAGGCCGAAGAAATGAAGCGCCAGCTCAATGAACTCCTTGAAAAAGGATTCATTAAGCCTAGCTCCTCCCCCTTCGGTACCAGCTGTCTCTTCGTCAAGAAGAATGGCACCTCGGAACTCTGCATGTGCACGGACTACCGCGCCTTGAACCGGATCACGATCAAGAACAAGTATCTGCTTCCCCGGATATCCAAACTTCTTGATCGCCTCCGTGGAGCCAAATACTTCACCAAGATCGACCTCCGCAGTGGCTTCCACCAGATCCGCATCCGCGAGGAGGACACCCACTAAACCGCCTTCCGCTCCCGCTTCGGGCACTACAAGTTTCTCGTAATGCCTTTCTGTCTCACTAACGCCCCCGCCACATTCCAATCCACCATGAACCACATCTTTCGCGACCTCCTCGAAGTTTGTGTCGTGATCTACCTCGACGACATCCTTGTTTTTAGCCCCACCTTCGAGTCCCACCTTGATCATCTCCGCCAAGTTCTCGCCATCCTCTACGACCAGAAATTTTACGCCAAGCTCAGCAAATGTACATTTGCTGCCTCTAGCGTAGAATACCTTGGTCACATTGTTTCCACCGACGGCATCCGCATGGACCCCAAAAAGGTCTCTGCCCTCATCGAGTTCCCCCCTCCCACCACTTCAACCCAACTTCGCTCCTTCACGGGACTCGCCAACTACTACCGCCCCTTCATCCGCAACTTTTCTGACGTTTCCTACCCTCTCCATGAGCTCACCCGTGCCACCGGACCCTTCCCTTGGACAGATCGCCGCCAAGCCGCCTTCGACAAACTCAAGGAGCTCATCACCACTGCCCCTGTCCTCAAAATCGCCGACCCCACTCACCACTTCTTCGTCACCACGGATGCCTCCGACTTTGCCATCGAGGCCGTCTTATCCCAACACTTTCCCCCCGACCCCGCGGAAACCCCCTCTATCAAGGACTCCCCCACTCACTCCCAATGCCCACCCGGCGAGCACCCCATCTTATTCGCCAGCAAGAAACTCCTTCCCGCAGAAATGAACTACCCATCCAACGAGAAGGAGCTCCTCACCGTGGTCTACGCCCTCAAAGTCTGGCGCCCGTACCTCGATGGGCAATATTTCACAATCCGTATCGATAACACCGTCGTCTCCTCCATCTTGACCAAGAAAGACATCACCCCTCGCCAAGCCCGCTGGGTAGACTTCCTTGCCCAATTTACCTTTACCATTTGTCACACCCTTGGCAAGAGCAACCGCGTTGCCGATGCCCTCTTCCGCCGCCCCGACCACAAACCCCCTGAGAAAGTCTATGCCGCCATGACCCACATCCAACTCCTGCCATCGCTACACCCAAGGATACCCCTCTTGCCCCGACTTCTCCACCATCTACGACAAACTCTGCGACCTCGACCCCGTCCCCGACTACTCCCTACATGACAACCTCCTTTACATCGAGACCAAAGCAACTCGCCGACTCTGCATCCCTGACGCCCATGGCCTCTGCACCCAACTCTTGGTTGATCACCACGACGCCAAGACCGCTGGCCACCTTGGTTTCCAGAAAACCTTTGACACCATCTCCCGATATTTCCATTGGCCTTCTATCCTTGCCGACGTCAATGCCTACATCAGCTCGTGCCCCAAATGTCAGGCAGTTAACCCCTCGAACCGGGCCAAACCCGGTAAGCTCTAATCATTGCCCATCCCCACAAACCGATGGCAGTCCGTTTCCATGGACTTCGTGTGCGGTCTTCCCAAAACCGACCGCGGGCATGATTGCATCTACGTCATTGTTTGCCGCCTGACCAAACGTGCTTATTTAATTCCTTGTACCACCTCGCACCATGCCAAAGACATTGCCATTCTCTTCTTCGACCATGTCGCCCGACACCACGGCCTCCCCGAGAATATCATTAGTGATCGCGACCCCCGCTTCCTCTCCCAATTCTGGAAACAACTCTTCCATGCCTACGGAACCACGCTCAGGTACAGCACTGCATCCCACCCACAGACCGACGGACAAACCGAGAAGATAAATACTCTCCAAAGAATCCTGCGGAAGTATTGTCATCCCCACCAGCATGATTGGGATCAGTTGCTCACCGCCACCGAGATTGCCTACAACAATGTCGTTTGCCCCTCCACCGACATGTCCCCCTTTTACCTTGACCTTGGCTATCACCCTCGCTTGCCCTCTGATTTCTTGCTCCCTTCTCAACTCAACCCATCCTCCCCCTGCCCCTCTCTCAATGAATGGGTTGCAACAATGAACCGTCTCCTAAGAGAAGCAACCAAGCCAATCCAACACACCCAGGAACAACAAGCTAAACAAGCCAACAAGGATTGTCATGATATCACCTTTCAAGTAGGGGACAAGGTCTGGCTCTCCGCCAAACGCTTTGAACCCGAACAGGACTTGTCCAAGAAACTCTCAAACAAGTGGCTCGGTCCCTTCCCCATCATTGAACAGACCTGCCCCGTCAATTACAAACTCCAGCTTCCCCCTGACATGAGCCGTGTCCACCCTGTCTTCCATATCGAATACCTCAAAGAATACCATGAATCCCCGCCACAGTTCTCTGATCGCCCTCACCGTCGTCCCCCTCCTATCATGCTCCCGATTGGACCTGAATTCTCCGTGGAATCCATCATTGGCCGTAGAACAACCCAAGTCGTTGATCACCCGAAATCAATCAAAGAATACAAAGTCAAGTGGACAGGCTACCCGGATGAAGAATCAACATGGGAACCCCTTGAAAATCTCAAGAACGCCATGAGACTTGTCCATGCCTATGATCGTTCCCACCCTGCATCCTAGCTATCCCCCTGCCTATACCTGGCTAAAACCCTGAACCCTTGCTTAAACCCTGCTACAACTTCGCCACCTTGTTCTACACACACCCCTGCCACAACCACCCTTGCCCTTGACCCCGATTCTTGATGTCTGATCTGCCCTTGTCCCTTGCCTAACCCTGGCCCATTCGCCCTCCCCACTTCCTTGTCCATCTTGTCCAATGCTTGTGGACCTGCGTGACGCCGGCGATAAAGGATCTAATGGCATGCGCACGAGGACGATGGCTTGCTGCACCACTGTTTATGGAGAGTATGCAGCTGGATTGGCCACCATGCTGCTACACCTGGCCGGCACCCTGCCTCACAGACTCCCTGGAGCAGCTACTTGTGACATGAACCATGTCCCAGTCTGCGACTTCCTCGCTACCGGATCAGACTTCACTGCAGAACATGTACCGGACGCGCCCACAACCATCGAACATGGACCTCTTGGCTTTCCACGCATCAACACTCAGCATCTTGTTTCTTCTTGACGAAGACCATTGAAGACCCCCCTTGCCGCTGACCAAGACCTTTGCAGTTCACCTTGCTTCCATCATCGACCTGACCAAGACCTTTGCAGTTCGCCTTGCTTCCATCATCGACCTGACCAAGACCTCCTTCAAGACCCCTATTGCTGCCGCTGACCTGGGACTGCTCAAGACTTCCGAAGACCCCTTCTTGCTGCCGATCAAGACACTCGAAGACCTCCCCCAGACCCTGTGACCCATTGCAGACCTCCGACTCTGTACCCACATCCCATCAAACATCCCAGCCCTTGTACATGCAAACTGTGCCCTTGAACCTTGCAACAAACAAGTTTTATTTTTTCTTATTATTATTTTTGTCTCATCCCCTGACAACCTATAACCTTGCAGAATTTCCACTGAAATACCCGTTCACTCTTGTAGAACATCCATAGGAAACCCTGTTACCTGCTCTCCCGTGTATATCATCAATAGGAAACCCTGTTACCTGCCCTCCCTTGTGAATCATCAATAGGAAACCATGTTACCAGCTCTCCCTTGTAGATCATCAATGGGAAACCCCATTACCTCTTCACCCTTGTCAACCATCTATAGGACTACTCGGTTCGCCCTGCAGCACCCCTAGTTCATCAGTAGGATAACCCTGTGCTCAGTCCCCCACCTAGACACCCTGACCCTGTGACACCTACATTATACCCCTCTTTCCCTTTTCACCTTGATGACCAGTGCTCAGCCCCGTCCCCGTCCTGTCCTTCACAGCTTTTTGCATTGTTCCATGACTATTGGCAGCCGGGACGTTGCCTCTTAGAGGGAGGGGATAGTGTTACGGACTCTGCCACTCGATTCCTGGTCTATCTTTTTGCTGTTTCGGCTGCATCCCGTTTTCGGCCTGGCACCCTTTTCCCAAATTCCTCCTTTGGCACCGTAGGATTTTGGACAACTGGCGCCATGCTGCAATTCGGGCGCCACTTTCAAATTCCACATTTTTCAGTTCTGCCCTTGGGGCTTCGCAGGTTTGCCCCCGGTACTGTACCGGACACCCGGTACTTATACCGGTGCCCCGTACAGTACGGGGACCAGTCTCGTACCAGTTTTCAGCTGCTGTACTCGTACTCAGTGGGACTTGCTCCTGTTTGGCATTCGGAATCCAAGACTTCGACTTTGTGTCCTTGCCACTGTGTCTGCGTCCGACCCTCAGTCGTGTCGAGTGAGTGAGTGTGTGTGTGTGCTCTCCCTCTCTCTCTCTCCCTCTTCTCTCCCTGTCTCCCTCAGTCTCGCACTCGTTACAGCAGGTCAATCTTATGAGGGCCTGAAAATGAACCTCCTTTGCAGGCTGAAAAGACTCAGGGCCTGGAGGACCCGTTTTAGGCTGAAACGACACAGGGCCTGTAGGCCCTTGTTTTCAGTCTTTTAGGCTGAAACAACACAGGGCCTGTAGGCCCTTGTTTTCAGGCTTTTAGGCTGAGAACCCTGGTCGGGCCCTGCAGGCCCGCGTGGCTGCGCAGTATGCCACACTCTCTCTGTGTGTCTCTGCTGGGTACCAGGTACTAACCTGCAAAAGGTGTCGCCTTGATGCAGGTATGGACACACGGAAGACGAAGCTAGAGAGCTGGAGCCGACAGGTAAGTCCTCAGGTGAGTCCCCTGGCCTCCGCCATAATCTTGTCTGTCTTTCTGTCTGCCTGTCTGTCTGTCCGTCTGTCTGTCTGTCTGTCTGTCTGTCTCTCTCTCTCTCTCTCTCTCTCTCTCTCTCTCTCTCTCTGTCTGTGCTGCGATGTACTGAAGCTGCACTATACTAGCGCTGAAGCCCTACTGCGCTATGCTAGCGCTGGAGTCCTCCCTCTATCGTCGACTACTACCACTACTGAAGCATACCACCACGAAGTGCCTGAAGAATGAATGCTGCCTCCTAGGCGGACCAGCTATATATAGCGCTGGTCCGGCTGGGAGACTGTTCTCACCAATGCCGAGCAGCACCAGTATCTGGCGTCTAAGTTTGCGCCCAAATTCGAATCTTCGAGTTTGAAAAAGGCCTGAAACGGCCTGGGCGCCTACTCGGCCTCAACCGGGGTCTCGCGCCAGGCCTACCTACCGGCCTACCGACCTACGGGGCCTACGTACGCCAAAACGACACAGGCCTGGAGGGCCCCTACCTATAGTGAAACGACACAGGGCCTGTAGGGCCCCCTACCTAACCCCTAGCCTACCTGGTCGGGCCCTGCAGGGGCCCGTGTGGAACTCAGAATGCCACATTTTCACTTATACAATATTGTCTGCATGCTTCCTTTGCACAATTGTCACCCATCCCCAACAATGTCAGAATATGTAGACCCATTCGTAAACTCTCTAGTCAGCCATTTTGCACAATTGTCACCCATCCCCAACAATGTCAGAATATGTAGACCCATTCGTAAACTCTCTAGTCAGCCATTTGGCAAACTGCCGGTCAACCCTCAAGTCAATATGTAACAGTGTGGGACAATCGGCAAGCAACATGTTTCAGAGTTTGAAGTCTTGTAGAGAAGTGATGGGGAGGGAGAGAAACAACACATACATGTTTCGAAGCTTCTTGAGCATAACAAATTCCTCGGGAAGCACCCCATTAAGACGGTTGTTAGAAACGTTCCTGGACGGTCACAAGTCAATTGTTATGATCCATGATGCAAAAGTAAAATTTGAGACAGTGCCATCGATTGCAACTCAAGACAGAAGTGGAATGGAGAAGAAAAGGAATAAAATGAAGAGAGGATAACACGAACACAACAATACTCCATTGTTTTCTCCCTCCTCTATATTGCCACCTCATCATCTCCCTGAATTAGTCCTCTTTCTTAATCAATGATAATCCACTAATGAATGCATGAACAGAAAACCGATGTCTGAGGAATCTCCCACAACTGCCTTGATGGAGAAACCACACTCCTGTTCTCCTGGTAGCACTATAGTCTACAGCCGCAGACCATACTTCAATGTTATCTCCCTCAATCTTGCCACCTCATCATCTACCTGAATTATCCCTTCTCTTTATTAAACCATCAGTACTCTGATGACCACCCTCCTGGACCTACATGGATCAGTTTCCCGAGCCTTTGGGAAAACTTAGAAACAGCAGAAAAACGAAGAAACGACAGCGCTTTTGATTTCACTGCGACTTTTCCTTCTCTTGTGCTTTTAATCTCATTGCGACCTTTTCTTCTCTTGTGCCTTCTCGTTTTTGTATTCTTTGTCGACTTTCCAACTTTTTTCAGTCGCCTTTCCTTTTCTACCACACACACACACACACACACACACACACACACACACAC